ATTTGTTTTTCTTTTTCATGATGACAGTGGTGAGGCCCTGCCTCCCCTGACTGCACGTCCCTGCTACCAATGTCAGGAACAGCAGGAATACCATAGTTGGGGTCCCTTGAAGGGTAGGAGTTTTCTAATTGGGTCCTCATTCTCTGGAACAAACTTGAAATGCTATTTGAACTGAATCAGACTCATTGTGATCTTTACAGTATTGTCAGCTGAGGAACAATACTGATAGTCCTGCTGGCAAAATTATAAAGGAAGTATACTATTTTGACAAATGGAAGTGATCTCTCTCCATCTCTCTTCTCTTTCCTACTCTCAACTAACCCTATCAATACTGCAGTTCTTTTCTTGTCCAAGCACGTGTCTATGCACAGAGGGAGTGTGCTGTTCCAGAGCTCCAGCAATGCTAAATCCACTGGAATGACCAATACCTGGTGTATGCTAATTTGCTGGCCTCCACCACCTCATTCTCAACCTTTCCCTTTAACAAAGCTTGATGGCTTTCTTGGGCGGGGTGGGGGATCAAACAGGTGGACATGCCATTCCCCTTCTCTCTGAGTTCACCTTCTCCCAGTTATAACAAGGAGAAGTCATTGGGCCAGAGCAAATGAAAAGCCATCTGGAGGATAAGAAGTACTATTTAGTGTTGCTAGCTAGCTGTCTACTTGTATTTCCAGCAACTGAGCAGCAGATAGTCTGGCTGCTGGAGAGAGAGAGAAGGCAGTTACTCCTGTTGCCATGTTTTGCTGCTGCTTGCGGGGCTTCAGCTCCTGCTGGTAGCCTCACTACCTAAAGAGAGGATAAAGGCAGTGGTGGCAATGTCTCAGCTTGTCACACTAGGAGCAAAGTGAAGTGATGGAGAGGCAAGCCAGGGCTGCAGCACTGTCTTAACTTTGGATTGGTTGAAATGTATGATTGATGCAAGTCATTTGTACTACAAGCTTTTCTTTGGGAAAGCTTAGAGGAAAATTAAAGAAAGAAATGTCACTTTTGGTTTTCCTCCATTATTCATGGGCAAGGAAACAGTAATGTGAAATTATTTGATCTTCCCCAGAGGAAAAAAAAACTTAGCATCATTCTAAGCAGTCTTCCAAAACATGGGTTTGTGGAAATGTGTGAGCATGGAATCTGTGTTGGTGATGGGAGACCTGCTGTGTGAGGTGAGCAGGCTCTTCCTGCAAGGCAAAAGCTGGAAAGAGATTATTTGGGGCCTCAGTTGAGGCTAAGAAGGCAGGAATGAGTTGCAATAACCCTGGTTGGGCTACCTGTCAAAGTTTTGGGATAGAGATTGGAGAGATATCCAGTTAAGCCACTTCTGCCTCTACTAGGAAAAAGATTGGAAATTTGACCCGAGGTAATAAGGGTGAGTGAATAAATGTGCTTTTCTTGCAGAATAAAACATTTGAATTTTATATTTGAAAGATGCTGTTTCTGTAGCAGGCAGATTTACTTGTTTTTCTTTGAAGACGTTTCGCTTCTCATCCAAGAAGCTTCTTCAGCTCTGACAAGGTGGTGGGGAATGGAAGGTGCCCATAATCTTTTATCTTTGGCTGAACAGGCTACAGCTACTGGAAATTGCAGTTCAGTAACCCTTGAAGGGCCACAGATTATAAATTAATATGTAACAAAAGAGGTATTTTTTTATCCAACCCTAAATCCAATGAAATCATTAGTTTTATTCATAGAGCAATCCTAATTCACCTTAGGGTGTATGTGTGTGGCAAATCCATACATGTGGATTTCAGCTCTCAGAATTTTGAGAGTTGAAGTCCACAGAACATAAATGGGCTATAATTACACATCCCTGACTTGGGGGACCACAAAATTGCAAACTTTAAGAAGTAATGTTGCAGGGCACTTTTTTTTCACTTTTAGTTATACGTTATATCATCTAGAGATGTCCCAAACATGAAGAATAAGATAGTGAAGAGCCCTCAGTAATATGTTTTGTAATCTTCTTTTTTCCCCATTAGGATGTGCCCAATCTTCCAGATTTCCAATGTTACAGGTGAGAATTTGGAGTTGCTGAAGATGTTTCTCAATCTCCTATCTCCAAGGACAAGTTACCGGGAGGAAGAACCTGCGGAATTCCAGATAGATGATACTTATTCTGTGCCAGTAAGGAGAAGTATTCTAGAAAAAAAATGTTTCTCTCAACTTTTTCAGAAATGAGAAAAGTAAAGAAATTCTGCTATTTGTGTCCTAACACAATTCGCTTGTTTCCTTTTTTACTTTCTTCCTGAAATAGGGTGTTGGAACAGTGGTGTCTGGGACAACTCTGAGAGGCCTAATCAAGTTAAATGACACTTTGCTTCTAGGCCCAGATCCGCTAGGTAACTTCTTGCCTATTGCAGTGAAATCCATCCATCGGAAGCGGATGCCAGTCAAAGAGGTGCGGGGTGGTCAGACTGCTTCCTTTGCTCTGAAAAAGGTGAGTGCCAACTTGCTATGGCTGTACTTTCTTGGAAGGCATTTATTTTCAGTGTCTGACAATGCAGTGGTGAACATGTGTATCCAGAAGTAAATACATTCTGGGTTAAGAAGGTTTATTCCTTGGTCCGTATATTCAGGAAGGCTAAGGTATAGCCAGTTTTGTCTGCAATTACACACCAAAATTGTCTCCACTGGGAATGAGCTAATGAGAAATGATAAGAGATTTATATGCATGAGGACGGGCAGTCCTTTTTTATTTTCTTCCATAATCTCCTTTCTACTTGTTAATCCTACCTAATTTTTTAGGAAATAAATTGAGTTCAGTTGGAGTTAATCCCAAATAAGTAAATGTAGAGATCTAATTTGGTACAGTAGTTTAAGGCACAAGTCTAGAAACTTGGAATCTATAAATTCTAGTCCTGCCTTAGGCATAAAGCCAGCTGGGTAGCCTTGGGGCTGCAACTCTTTCTCAACCCTAAGAAGAAAGTAATGGCAAATCATTTCTGAAAATCTTGTTTCTTATTAGTAAATGAGTTTGACCAAACCACCACCTTAAGTTATTTTTTTTGGAATAGTTTCCTGCTTGGTTAGTTGGATAGATGGACATCCTACTACTTCCCAAAGGAGGTTGTATTTAAAGAGCTGGTGTTGTCTTATGTACATACCACAGAAGTATGTTTATTTTCCAATGAACCTACTTTTGTTTTTGATAACTCCCTTTCAATTATTCCACTACCAGATTAAACGTTCCTCTATCAGGAAAGGCATGGTGATGGTATCACCTCGGTTGAATCCCCAAGCCTCTTGGGAATTTGAAGCAGAGATTTTGGTACTCCACCATCCTACCACTATCAGTCCACGTTATCAGGCAATGGGTATGTGGAGTTGCTTTCTATGTCTTTTATATACATCTGTTGCAGTGTAGCTTGAAATATTAAATATAGTAGTGGTGAAATATTAAATGGTACTGGTTATTCTCCATAAGAATAGGAATTTACAACATAGATCGAAGACTATCTTCTGCTCCTGAAGCTCTTATTGCAGTCCCATCTGCCCTGTAAATTGTAAAATTACTAAATATATTAAGAATATTGCTATTAACTTAATCCTTCCCTCCTCAAATGGGACATTAAAAGGCCAGGTACAGCTCTTAATATTTTGCATCTTTAACTTACGGGGACAGCACCAACAAAGAGCAAAAGAGTACTATTTATTGTGAAACTTTTGGAATGTGCCAGAAGAACAAGATGTTAGGTGATCCATGTCTAGAGTGCTTGATTTGCATCACTGTAGAAAGTCCATTTTAGTGCTAGGTTTGATGGATGATTGGGAGGGGGGGGGACTGAGGGGGGGATGACTGCATGTGATTTTTTTTAACCTGTATCTTACAAGATAGAGGTTTTGAGAAAAGCATGACTTATGAGAAGCCTTCAGATTTGTCACTGGAGGAATCCCTCACTGCTTAAGAATGCTAGTGAGCAAGGAAGATCTGGGGTGACTAGGGAAAGTAACAAGAATAAAGTTTTGATGTTCTTCCTGTTAGTCAGAGATCCATATACATAACAAAGGAAATTTAACTTCTTTGTGTGGTGAATTAATAACATCTATGTGTATTGCCAATATTTGTTTCCCTGGTGATATTCTGAGTGCCAGTGAGATTCTTTCTGTTTCTAGTACATTGCGGTAGCATTCGCCAGACAGCCACTATCCTTAGCATGGACAAAGACTGCCTACGCACTGGGGACAAAGCCACTGTCCACTTCCGCTTCATCAAAACTCCTGAGTACTTGCACATAGACCAGCGGCTAGTTTTTCGTGAGGGGCGTACCAAAGCGGTCGGCACTATCACCAAGGTAATAGTGGATGGGGAGGAGTTTCAGAGATTGCCAAATGCAGTTGCATAATTTCTCCATTGATTAAATAGTGTATTGCTTTGTTGCCAATTACTACCTGTTGCTACTTACTATTGGGTTACATAATTGATAAACAATTGTTATTTTCCAGTATCTACTGTATATATTTTCTTAAAGGTTACAGTGTGTTGTATGGCATTAACTTTACAGCAAATTCTATACTTAAGATAGTTCTGTTCCCATTTTTCAGAGTTTTCAGCCCAGGTAGCTAGAACAAGTTTGAGCACTGTTGTTCAGTAAGGAACAACAATGTAAGTGAGAAAAGGATGGAGCCTATTTCTGCTGTTTCGGTCCTTTCTTTTTTTAGAGTTGCCACAACAAGTCAAGTATCTTCTAGAATTTTCACCCCATCCAAAATGGAATCTTCTTAGGGGCCCTGTATCCGTGTTCTTTCCATTGAAATTAAATATTGCTGCAATACCCATATTTTCTAAAGGCTTACAAACCCAGTTACGGTTCTATGTCCTTTAAGCCTTGCTTCTATTTGGAATAAAGGTATTATTCCAATGGATTCCTCATATTTACAAATGTGGTGCACCAACTATCCTTTTTTAAGCATGGCAAATTCAGAAGGTCCTGGTTGCCAAATCAGAATATAATTTTATATATCATTCAAATAGATAAATTGAAGCATATGTTCAATGAAATGGCTTAAATATTGTTATGCTGTTAATATCTCTCTTTTATATAATGTTTGACTTTCCTTATCAGCTTATTCCTTATTACCTGGAATAAAAAACTTTAGTCTCTTCCTGCTTCGGGAGGTGTAGATGAGAGCTTAGCTTTTTCTATGTATCTAAGTGTCTAAAACTAAAGTGCTAGGTTAATTCTATGCTTTAAAGTAAAACCCAACACTCAGCAAAGATCTTGATTCTGGCTATCTGTTTTTGACTGACAGTTACTCCAGACCACCAATAATTCTCCCATGAACTCGAAGCCCCAGCAAATCAAGATGCAGTCTACAAAAAAAGGACCCTTGACCAAGCGCGAAGAGAGTGGAGCCCAGGTTGGCGTAGCAGTGCTGACTTCCCCTGTGGCAGAGGATGGAGCCCCATTGGCAACAGTTGCCTCAGCACCCTCTGGTGCTCAACAACCACAGGTAATTGTGGCCTGTGCAGTGCTTTTGTACCTTTGTCAATGCCATCATAGCTTTCCCAGGCTTTACCTTAAAGGGAACCACCATTTCTCCTCCACTGATTTTGGCTGAGTTCATATTAAGAAAAAGCTTTTTAAACTAAGCCTCATTGAACAAACCTTTGCATCCTGATTCCTGTTCCCTGCTAAGTTCAAAAGAAAAGAACCAAGCAGGGTATGTTCATTTTTAAAATTGTGTTCACAATTGTTTTTCTGTCCAGAATTGGTATGACTACATCATAAAAATGAGTCCCAACACAGGCACAATCTCGTAGCCAAGGAAACTGCTTGTATTTTTGTTTCCCTTTAAATGGAAGTTTATTTTCCATCCATCCCATAGTGAACATTATAAGCTTTTTATTTATTTCAGAGTGAAACAGCTGTTTCTCTGCCTCAGGTTTAGGTGTCCTGTTCATGCGTTGTGTTAAATCTTTTCCACATGAGCTTGCAGTTCTTTTGCAGTTTGTGGATCCAACTGCTTCATTTATCTTTGTGATCTGGATTAATACAGCAAGGATTTAATGAGAGAGCCCCAAAGTGTAGAATGAATTCTCTCTTCAATTATGGAGCTTTCCTTGACTTACATTGAAAGCATAAAATGCATCCAGTTCAAACGTCTGTTTCTGCAGGAAGGGTTTTTACAGTTGTGAGGTTTTCCTTTGCAGAATGCATAGTATTCTATTGCACTTTAACTGTTAAGATGCCATTGTAAACTTTGGACAGTCAGCATAAGCTTGTTAAATTGACAAAAGCTTGAGAGCTTTAGCATAGCAGTGCTCCTTAATTCATATAGTTGTGCTCTGTATGTGCATTCATTGTTTATCTAGCATGTCAGTCTCCTTTCTTCCTTTGACCTGTGTGAGTGTGTATGCCTTTGTTTTGTCTCCTGTCATGTGTTGTTGTCTAGTGCTTTCCAGATGAATTGGAACAGAACTCCCTTCATTCTCTCAATCTTTGTCCATATCTTAGTTGTTTGTTTGTCTTGGTTATCTGTTTGTCCTGTGTTCAGCTTACCTCTGCTTTTCTTTTCCCAATGCTTTCCTTCAGCCTGCATTGGATGAAGAATCCCACAATCAAGAGGGAAATAAGGTATTTCCTCTACTATGGCTTATATGCCTTAGGAGCCCAGGCTGAGGAGGGGGTCATAATCTTTAAATGGAATTCTCAGGAGCCTTCAGGAAGAATTGTTATGAACATGTTTTATCATCTTCTCGTTTCCCATTCTTTTATTTTATTTATAGTTTGTTTTTCATTTTGTCACCAATTTCAAAGGAATTTACAGTGAAAAGAGAAATAACAAATAAGACCTAAATTATACCAGTCATCTTAGGGTTGCCGATAATCAAACACTCTTGTACTACTGGTCTTTAATTCATGGTGGAAATGCTCCATGCCCACTTTATTTTGCTGCAGTGCTTGTGCCTCTTAGCAGTTACAACAAAGAATACCCCACCATCATGACCATAAGAAAGTATCAGGGAGATATCCTCTTCTCAATAGGACTGGGAAGGCTTAGATGGAAGGTGCTGTTCATGGGGCTTATACATATTCAATACCCAACACTGTGACTTGTATTTGTGTATTTTTTTTCAATTTCTTTGGTCATCCAAAATCTCTTGTCCACCTTATTCTAACTTGGATTTTTTTTCTCTTCCCCCACCCCCATTTCTCCAGGCAAAGGCTGGTGGTGGTGGACGGAGGCGTGGTGGCCAGCGTCATAAAGTGAAATCTCAAGCAGCTATTGTGACTCCAGCTGGTGGCTGCTGAACATCTTGTTAGTAATTGAGAAATTCACATCTCCCCCTCCATTTCTTCAATTCAAAAACCTGGAGCAGCTTAACCAAAACCCTTTGCAGCTGGTCTTCTACTGTGGAAGATTTTGGGGACGAGGACTGGGGGGAGGAAGTTCCAGGGTTTTCCATTGAAACTAATGAAGGTGACAAAGAACAAATGGGACTGACCAGCAGCCACCTTCTCCCTTTTCCCAAAACATTTTGTACACCTTGAGCTCTTAGTCATGATTTTTATGTTTTTATTATGGTGGTTTTGTGTGTGAGTGTGCTTCTGAGCATGTGCATTCAGGAGAATACAGGTATAGAAAAGAAAGCACCTGTGTCTTCTCCATTCCCACACTCATCATTAGGCTAGCTAACCTGCTCTTTTGCAGTTGGGAATTTCTGAAACTCCAAACCTTTAAGAGTAAGAATAGGTGGTATTTGGCAGGAAGGAGATAGTAGTTCTTTCCCCATGTTTCCAATGGTTTGAAACAGATACTAGGTCTCTCTCACTGTAATTTCACCATGACCTCCCAAACAAGCCTCATCCCAAATCTTAGACTTCAATGAAATCCTAGAAGTTGTGTGTATTTGTAAGCTTGTTTGCACACACTTCATTCTTCTGAAAGGAGAGTTTTGAAAGCGAGATTTGGAGGCCAAAGAGAATTAATTTCATATTTATGTATATTATGTTCGGAACTTATCTTTTTTTCCTACGGAGCAAAATGTAGAGGCTCCCGTATTACTGACTACATGCTATATCTAGGTTTGCACCCAGTTATGTGGGCACATTAACAACAAGACAGTCAGAGCGCAAGGTTGTTTCTGGTTGTTTGCCCATTTATTTTCATGGCTTCCAAACCAATTTGAAGGCCACATTTCCTTCCTACCATGAATAGATGCCATTGTCAGCCTCTACATATTCAGCTCCCTTTATATTACAGAAACAGCTGCCTGTTTAATTAATTTACTGATTTAGAGACCAACTTAGAAATTTGTTCAAACTCTCCATATTTTTTCCAGTGCCACTTACAGAGACTACATAGAGGTGGGCTGAGGTTTATTGAATCCACCATTAAAATTTAAAGTCATATTTGTGATTTTATAACTTTAGTAGCTGTGTCTCTTCAAGGCACTCATTCTAAACTGACATTTTAACTGCATCATGTTTTTAAAAAGGAGAAAGCATGAAAAAAATGGTTTGTAGTTAACTGGTTTGTAACTTTGAATAGCATTTTCCCTACAAAGTAGTGTTTCTTGGATTTATTCCATCCTAACTATTTTTGGAATACCAGCCTTTTTAAAGTTATAAACATTGAAGAGAGGTAGAACTACTTATGCCATCTTCCCAAATTCAATGCACAGTATATATGTTGGATTACAATTCTCCAACAAGCATGGTTAACAGATATGCTATTTGGAATTGATGGAAGTTGCAGACCAATCTATCTTGAAGATGCCAGATTAAGAGAAGTTGCTATACCTCTCTTGCTTTTTTAACAGAATGTTCAGCACCTGCAGCATTAAGGAGCCCTGTGAGAATAAATCAGTGTGAGGATGATTAATGCAAGGTAGCAACCTGTGCTATTGCTTTTTACTCTGTATTACATCTGTCTCCTTGAGTTCCAATTCCAAGGGAAGCAGAGCCCTTAGTCTGGTGTCTTCTTTATTTCATTCTTTTGTTCAGAAAGATGAATGTACAATGCTGGAAAGCATTAAGAAAGTCAGTGTTGTGTTCTCCTTTCTGAGCCGAACATAAAAACTACTGAGGCTAGTATGGTGTCAACATTAAAAAGAACAATTTGGTAAAAAAAAAAAGCTTGTTCTCTCCATTTTAAAGGAAATGGGGTACTACTTCACTAATCCTGGTTCATAAAATGTAAATTAGGTTAGATGTAATTTGTAAATATGCTTTATATGGCTGAAGTTTCTTCCCTGAAAAGTCTTGAAGGCTAGCTGGTTGTTTTCCTGAACGGGGGATTTACTAAAATGCTTCCAGAACCTTGTAGAAAATCCAATTGACAAAAAAAGAAACTTGTGCCATAAGAAAAATCCTGCTGAATCAAATCTGCCTGTGACTTAAGGGGGTGTTCAAAAGCATGAGCAAAGTCAGGTGTTTACAACCTGTATTGAGAAAATGCTGCCTTTCATTCTGAAGGTATTATAGTTCCACTGAAACCAGTAGCTCTATAGATTTGACTAGCTTTTAAAAAAAAACCAATCCAAACCAGTATCACCAATCACATTCATCTAATAGAAGCAAATTCTATATGCTTTATAAAGAATTACCTTATCTTGTATCTCCCCAAGTTTCACACTGATGCATGATAGCCATGTTCTGGTATTTTGAGGAAAAATTTCTACATAGCTTTTATATACATTTATCAAATTTTGAATGAAAAAATAGTTTGTAGTCTTTTCATGCTAGAATACAGCTTAATTATTTTGGGTATCCTATTTACATCCTTCTTAGCACTACAAAAGAGATGCAATGACCAGATTTGTATTCCAAGGGCTATTTATAACAGCTGTTCATAAGAAATGTGCACAATTAAAAAATAAGTTCAAAGCTGTTGCTATTTTAAAAACCTGATTGGAATAGTTACAATCCTGATTTTAGTTAAGCCTTGACATCAAATGTTTTCTTAAAATTAAATTACAGTAGTTTAAACAGCAGTATAAATTGCTTTTTTAATTATGTAACTTTTTCAGCAGATTGGCTCTTCCTGGGACTCCTTCCCTCATAGGAGGTTTGTATTGATATGGGTGGAGGGGATGTCTGTATGTCCGCATATGGTCTGTGATCTATTTGACCAAAACCTATAGTATCCTTATGCTTTGATGAGAATTTCTACTCCTGTTTTAGTCCTCTCTGACCCCCCAAAATGTCTTTGTTCATTAACGACTAGTTTTACCACTTTTAAGAGAAATCATTTATTGATTTATCTTGCATAGGTATAAATTACAACAAAAATAACAGACTGTGCAGCATTTGTAACCTGTAGACTTAGATACACTCCTCCCAACCCTAAATACAAAAAGATTTCTTAGGAGTTATTATTATTATTACAACCATTAATCTATGGGGTACCTTCCTAAGGACAAAAATAAGTGGAAAAGTCATATTTTTCATGCTTTGCTTTTGTATCCCCTTGAAAAACATACTGCATAAAAGCATTCCTGATGATAACCATTGGATATGTACAATTTGGAAGCTACTATATTGCTTCCCAGTCAACAGTCTTAACTAGCCATCTGTAATTTAGTACCTTCCAATGTACAACTCCCATCGCGGTCTGTGGCTATGTGAAAAAGATTACATCTGAGAGTAGTGAGAGCAGCTACATGCAAATGACAGGTGAAGGCATTGGTACCATAAAATTGTAATACTTTTTCATATGCTTAAGTAAGGTCACGGTTGATTTGATATCAATGGATTTTCAATCTCTAGTTGTATTTTATAACGTTTAAGTTAAAAGGCTTGGTTAATAAGTACACATGTATAGCTACATTATCTGTACCGTGTGGAGGTCTTAAACCAGAGTTATTGGCTGAAACAAAATGGTCGCCCAGAATTAACATAATAAAACTTAATCTCAGGCCCCAGTGTGCACAGCCCCCAAGTGATGTATCTGGACATGATGGCAAGCCATGAAATTTGACTACATATAATAGGTTAAACAAGTCAAATAATTTGACTAATTGGACAATAAGATCAGGTGAGCAAAAATACCACTAAGTGCTCCTTAATTAAACCTTTTAGCTTTCGTGCATCACAAGAATACAACTGTTATTTACCTTCACAATATCTTTCGCAATACTGTTTCATTATTTCACAAAACCACTGCACTCTTTCATAACAAAAATCCCTGTTCTTAACTGGTCCCTACTTTGGAGAAATTACAGAAAAGTTAATATTACAATTAATGTTAAAAAACTATACATAAACTACATGGGATAACTAAGAACATGGAGAATGGGGTGTGCCTTAAAATTTATTCCAAGTAGTGGATTAATGCAGGCCTATAATGTGCCTGAAGGAGCATAAGGATTCAGATGTGGAAACAATTTTTTGTAATTAGAATTCTTATGGCAAGGAAAACCGCTGTCCTTTTATCTATTTTTTTTAAGCGCTGGAAGCCTTTACTGTAATGTTGAAGGAAAAGTAATCAATTTAATGATTACTATAGGTCAAAGAACATGTGACTTATTACTTGAACCTGGAAAGATAGGATAAGATGCTACCTGATTCTGGGCACCTGATAAGGAAATACTGGAAGAATGATCAGCTAGCAATTCCTTGTTCTTATTCTTGGTGAATGAACTGATGTAACTCATCTGTCATTTTTACAGGTACACCCAAGCAAAGATATAAAGCACCGGAGGTCTGCACCATCATCACAAATACTAGCTAGATCTTTCTGTTAGATGCAGCTGGTTAACATAGTTTATAGAGCCCAATAATGGTAACAAACCTTTGTTAGCTAAATATTTCTCAAGCATTTAATGTGCTATGTTATGAAGCCCCTCCCTTTCCAGAGGTAAGTGGCTGCTGCTGGGTGGGCAAAGGAATGGGGAATTGCAAGATTGGCTGGGAAACTGTCATAGAATGTTGCAAATGAAAGTCATGTGACTACAGCTCAGCACAGCCAGTAGCACTGAAGCAGCCAGTTTTCCCATATTTCATCCCCTCAAGACACACAAGTCAAGGATTTGGACACTTTCTACAAGTTAGCCTATTAAAGGTAACTTGGCTCAAAAATTGTTGCCCTATGATTCCCCAATTTGCCCACTTAAATGTCATGACAATGAGTTTTAGTAGCATATGATAGTTCCTTCAGCTAAAGTGAACTTCCCTATCTTAAGAGGAGTATACATTAAAATAATGGTACACTTTGGAACATGTTAACTGGGATTCATGGAGCTGAGGTTGCTAAGGATTCAAAAGTTCAGATCAGAAAAGTGGAATATGAGCAATAGCAAGATCCCAGTACCTATTTCATTTAGGTAGACTTTATAGAGGAATTGGCTTGGCCAATAGGAGAAAAAATGCTAGTGTTT